TGTAGCCCGTTGACCCTGTAGTGAGCAGACCTTGTGGATGCAATCCGCGAGAATGGCGAGACCTCCATCTAGCCGTAGACCGTGACATCACTCGACTCCTCAGTTACCCATTCCTGGCAAGCGTCTAAATGACATGCTTGCAGCGATCGAAGAGAAAAACAGTGAACAGTAGCAGTCATGGAGCCCAACTTACTCCCTTTTCCCTGCTTTAACAACGGTATATTCGCTTAACCCAACATGGCTACAGTCGAAGTCAATGACTCTCTTTCTCCCGTAAATGTGATGGTCGCTTTCAATCTGTGTAATGTAAATTAGTGCTTCACTCTGTTGCTTTCAGTCTAGGTCCGTCATTTTTTTTAATGAGTCTACATGTATTTGCTGTCTGAATTGTTGCCCCCCGGTGACATCGTCAACGATAGATCTCTTTATCTTAAAATTGGAACGGCTCATCGAGATCGTCAACGATAGATCTCTTTATCTTAAAATTGGAACGGCTCATCGAGATCGTCAACGATAGATCTCTTGATCTCAAACCGAAACGGCTCATCGAGAAGCTCGCATTGTGTTAGCGTGGTCGAAAACTGTCCATCGGATGCTTCAGAATATTGTTACCGACGTGTCGGGTTTCATGACGACTTTATTTGTCTGAACGGGAAATAGGCTTGAAGTACTGCACGCTCGTGATTTCTTCCGCTTGTATTTAGGTTTGGCTTCTCGGTTAAATTTGATGCAAAACTTGCATGCTATTGCAAGTGCTGCAGACGATTCAGGGTGCCGTTCGAAGGTTTCTAAACAATACTTGAAATCGTGTCCTCTCTGGAATGGTGTCGTCAATGCCCGCGGCATGCCGCTACTTAAACACATGTAGCTAGAAGCCTTCCGTCGGCGCTCGTTTCCTTTGAGAAATGCAAATAATCACCATTATCGGTTGGGAAATGACTTCTGTAAACGTCTAGTAGCAGGGCATTCAATCTGATAATAACTGTTTGCTTTTAATGTGCGTCGGACAGATATTTTCGCATCAAATTGGCGATGTGTCGGCACTGGGCTTACGCACAAACCTAACAATTAACCAGTTTAGCGAGGGACTATCGGAGAATTTAATAAGGTACTCCGAGGTAAATTAGGCCGATTTCCCTCAATTAATGAGGCCTGCACTGTGTCCGTTGATTATTATACTATGTACACTGTCAGGTGGCTTCACGGCGTACACTCTACAGTATCGGGCGCACAAGTATCACCGTCGGAACTACAACCCAAAACAAAGCTCGATCGCGACAACACAGCTGCTCAGAAGGTATCACAACAGCGCTTGTTAATCACATGAACTATGCTGCCAGCCCAGGAGCAGTAGCAGGAAGGTGGAACTAGCGCCTGAGAACGTCGCATGTGGTGTGTTCAAAGCGGAAAACGTAACACCAATATTTTTTTTTAAAGAAAGAGCTTTGAAAAATTTCTAGTTTATTTTAGCGAAGCATCAAATTTAAAATCTTGCTGTACTGGGTGGGTCATGAAGTTCTAGTCGATCGCGCGCTCGAGATGCTGAGGATCTCCACATTTCCGAAGGATCTTTAACTACTGACGATGATGCAGACTTACCTGTTCTCTTTTGCTTCGAGAGTTCAGGAAGTAGCAAGTTATGGAGTGTTTGACGTTGCTCGTCGTCAATCGTTCGGTCGCTCGAGTCGTTGCTGTCTGCAGATGAATGATGTGAGGATATCTTCTGCTTAATCAAAGTGTCCAGTGTCATCTGCATCACCTCACAACAAATAAGTAGTCCGTATTATCACCATTATTAGTCAACAACCATACATACCGACGGTTCCCTAATTCTGCGTCCGTAACTTGACGGTAAGTAACATGCCTTAGATAACATGAGCTTTTTCTTGAGTACTGGTATCGTTCCTACTCTTGCCACGTCTCGAACAGCTCTCGGCTAATTAACGTAACGTCAGTTAAAAACTGTAATCCTATCACAACAAACAATCAAAAACTTACGCTTTCTCGGCGCTGATACTGATCATGATGATAGCGCAGCACAGCCACCACTTGCTTCTTAGTAAACTCACGGCTTTGTAGATGTTTCTCAAGAACGTCTGTGATAGCGTTGAGCTGGTATGGAGTTTGCGGATCATTCGGACCAGGTTCAAACTCCGTATATCTGCTAGTTCGAAGACTCTCGGACTCAGGTGTAAAGTAGGAGCCGTGAGGAGATCCCATGCAATATAACGCTGGCTCTGGTGATGTAGGCTTCGCCTGGTTTACGGTTGACAACACAGGTAGTGGAGGCTTTCGAGGTGTCCGTCGCGAAGAAGGTGGACCAACAGGTGTGCGTGGCTGCTGATTATCTACTTGCTTCGACTTCTGCTCGTCCTTCAGCTGCATTTTTGCAAATAGTTGCTCGTAGAACTTGAGCTTCTTGCTAAGTCCTGCATTCATTTCTTCAAACACGTGCATCTCCTGCTTGGTACGCTTGTTCTCCGCGCGAAGTTCGTCGATCTGTTTGATCATCTTTTCAAGCTGCGAGCTCTGATAACGCAGCTCGAGTTGCACTCTCTCATTCTCTTCAACAGTTCGCTGTGTAGTCACGTCCAGTTGCATTCGCATTTGCGTCCGCATGGCGTCGTGGAAGGCTTGGAGTTCGGCCTCCTTCTCACGACGTAATCTGTCGTTTTCTAGAATTAATTTTCGTTCCAGATGATGTTCTAGTTCGTCTTTTTCCAACGCCATCGCTGCGAGTTGAGACTGAAGTTGCTCGATTTGAGTGTCGCTGTCTTGCTTGTTAAATTTTGCTAGTCGAGTCTCACGTATAGCAGCCTCGTTCTCAAGCGCGGTCTGGGTCAGTTCAGCACATTGGCGCTGGGATTCCTCATAAAGCTGCTTGTATTCCTGCTCTTTGCACGTGTCCAGGGGGTGGAAGAGAGGCTTTCCTGCATTAATCAGAGTCATCATCCTAGCGCGGGTCTCCGTCTCCGTTCCAGTTGACTCCGCTGAAGAGTTGGTAGTCGTGTTAGTGTTGCTTTGGGAGATACTAGTGTCTCCTTCTGCACTTCCGCTCCCGTTGATTGTTTGGAGCAGTGAAGCGTTGATAGTTTCGTATTCGCGTACTCTATTGTGCAGTTCATCGATTTTCTTTGACTTGAAGGCCAGCACGCGCTCACGATCGTCGATGTTGGCTTCGAACGATATTTGAAGCTCTTCCAAGGCGCGGGTTACTTGAGCGTTTGCCTCTTTGAGTCGCTCGTTCTCTTGTTTGGTTTGATACAGCTCCTCCTCGAGTTTCTGCTCGTGAAGAGCACGAAATGCGATCGTCTTGAATTTATCCAAGCCGCCAACATCCGTCTTACCAAAGAAATCGGTTGCACTTAGTAGGGATCCATTACCAGTCGGAGCTCCCGCTGACATGGTAGAAGTAAAAGTGTCAGCGTACCGAGCTTGATCCCAACAACATTCGAAGCAGATAATAACATTGCCGTTGTCAGGTCTAAGAATACTATTTAGACAATCAAATCGCCACCAAATGTTTGTACAACGTACAGACGATAACATAACTTAAAAATACATGTATTCAGAACTCATCCCGAAGAATGGGTGGGATAAATTCATGACTAGTTCCGGGTTCTTCGTCATCACTCCACGCATCTTCATCGCCAATAGTAGCACCGGCGATTGCTTCCGAATCGCCATTTTGTCCTCCAGTATCGACATTTTCATTATCGAAAATGTCAGGGTACAAGTCAACAGGTGGAGGTTTCCACTTCATGATGAGTCCATCTTCACCTGCTGAGTAGAGTTCACGAGTAGTTTTTCGATACAGACACGCGGTTACCTGTTGATAGTGAGCAGTAGCAGACCCTATTGGTGCACCACTATCTCCAAAAACACGGTAGGAAGTCAACGCTCCTTCCGATCCGTTTGGAACAAACACCAGCGTACTCTCCCAGGCGCCTCCTTCTTGAACTGCAGCCATTTGTACATTTCTCGCAGCTCGAGGCTGTGCTCTTCGCACTCCTTCATAGTTCATAAATTGATGTTCACCCGACGTTGCGTTCCACAATCTCAGTTTTTCATCCATCCCATTACTCAACAGAAATCTCCCGTCCGGGGTATACGTCAAACTCGTCACCCCTGCTTGATGAGCAACTGCAAGCGACATAGTCGCCGCTGCATGTGGGTCGTTTCTACTCTCTCTATGCATGGAAGCGTGTAGCCTCATATGATGGTTATCCACTCTCGATCGCGCTCGTTGTCGGTCTCTTGCTTGTGCTTCCGACGCCCCACCCACTCTCCTTCGTTTTCTAACCTTTGCAGCAGCCGATAACGACATGGGTTTCTCTCTCTTTACGTTTGTATATAAACTAGATCTGCCGGGTACATTGGCTTTTCCTTCGTGGTTTAAACACAACAGACACGCTGTTGCTCCTGATCGTCGAATATCCCAAAGACGAATTTCACCGTCTCGTGAGCCAGTGGCAAGTAGAAATTCACTTGCTGGAGACCAGTCCAGTGTCCAAATTTCATCTTTATGACCCAATAGACTATGAGCTGTGGCTCCACTCTCCATGTCCACAAGTCTCAATTCCCCTCTAGCTGTGGCTGCAGCGATCAACGAGTGTGTCGTACTCACTGGAGAAAACTTTGCACCGAAAACTTTACTCCGTAAATGCAATGTACTGACACAAGAAAAAGTCTCGAAATCCCAAATTTTCACGTGTTCGTCCAGCGAACTGGAAATGCAGAGCCCGCCATCCACAGGGTACCAGTCGACCATGGAAATACCGAATTGTAAGGTTTGGGCATTCTCCGTTTTGGCTCCAACAGCGCAAATTGGGTCTAGTGTGTTGGTGGTGTTGTAACTAGGGTTACACAGAGCGTCGGCTTCGTCTAGGGTTTGTAGATCAAATACCAAAAGTTGGGACTGGGAAGTACCAACCAACAGGAAACGCTGCTCCACTGGGTCCAGCGAGCAGCCCCAGACGCGCATCCCTTGCCGGAAGATGAAGTTGCTGCTCGATGGCGAGTACTGCAGTAAGTTAGTGGACTGTCGGGAGTTTAAGCTGTCGCGGTAGGCGCGGCTCGGCAGCCCCACGCTCCGGTCGAGCAGGTAGCCAAACGCCGACATCAAGAATCGAGTTATAAAATTCGACAGGATCTTAAGGATCCTGTCAAATAGCTTATTTGAACCTGTATAAAAGCTTATTCAATCACTCATCTTCATCAAGACCCTCTGACGTACGTGGAAGGTCTCCATTATCGACACGCTGCCTAGACGTAGAACAGCAAATGCTCGCGACAAAAGTTGATCGTCTGCTGCAGATTGTGGCGTCCAGAGGAGCGCAAGTGCCTAATTTGCCGAGTAATTTGCTGCCGATCAACAACGTGGTTGCATTCTCTGGCGGCGTGGACTCGTCTTTAGCTGCCGCGTTGGTATTCCAAGTCTTCCCCAATACTAGTGCCGCATGTATCGGAAGATCCGCTGCTTTATCTTCAGTGCAACTTCAGCAAGCTCGACATGTTGCGTCCCACATTGGTGTCCCATTGTGGGAATGCCATACAGATGAAGACAAACTCGAGGGTTATGTCGCCAATCAGGGCAAAAGTTGCTACTATTGCAAGACGACGCTGTACTCGACATTAAACCAGGTTGCGGAGTTCGCGTGGAAGGAAATGCAGCAACATAGAGAAGAGATGAAGCCTGTGTTGTATAATGGCACAAACGCTGATGATCAGTTGGATCCTACTAGAGTTGGTACGTTTAGCACACTATCAGACGATTTAGAAGATGTACTGATTTAGAGTTATTTGTGTAGGACTGGTGGCTGCCACCGAGTTCGACGTGGTGAGTCCGCTTAGCGAACTGACCAAGCAAGAGGTACGAGATGTGGCTAAATATTTGGGACTTCCGAATTGGAACGCGGCAGCGTCACCGTGTTTGAGATCGAGATTACAGTTTGGAGTTGAGGCGACGCAGGTGAGTGGAAGCTGAAAGTTTCAATAGTTTTTTTTTTTTTGTGAAATGAGGCTGAAATATGTTCGTTTTTAGCAACATTTGCATCGGGTGGAGAAAGCAGAGGACTTTGTGCGTGGATTGATTCATCTGGAGCCACAGATGAGCATGCGCGTGCGTTTTCTTGCAGGCAATAAGGCTGCAGTTGGTACGGAAAGTTTATGGATAATTTTGGTTATGGTTCGTGGTCTGACCGTTGTCGTATGCAGAGCTTGACAATGAAGCGTTGGAGAAGGCGATGCCTCACTTTAATGTCATTGACGAAGAGCTACGACGACTTGGTATGAACAACACCTGGGCTCAATTCAGCTATGCTTTTTGACATTTTCCTCTACTTTTTTTTTTGCAGGATTCAACGCAGTGGACGTCCGTGCTTTTCGCTCGGGCAGTTTGAGTGGCTATAATGCTAATAGTGTCGTGCATCATACCCCAGCGAGAGAGGCTCGTATAGAGTAGTTAACCCACGTTAAAACTTTGCTTGTAAATCTACAGACTTCTGACCACGGTTCCGAACTGTGTTTAAGAAGTCGAAAGCGTCGACGCCCAAGCGAAATAATGACACTAATAATCAACCGTCTTCAATGAGCTTGACTACCGTCATGAAGGCAGAGAGCGCTGAAAAAGACGCGGTCATGAAGGGATGTGGTATGCAAAAGCCAAATTCTAAAGTGACAGGAGGTGACACCCTCCCACGTCTCTTACGTATAGATTTGTGTGCTTACCACCGTTATGTCGCGGAGAATCAAGTTGTATGTTGCACACAAAAGTGTCTGCTCACACCATCGCAGTCAAGTTTCGGAATCCAAAATAGTAAGATTCCTTGTTGTTGGCAGTCATGCGGGTGATTATTGAATGAGTCTTCATTCTGTTTCGATCTATAACTGACCATCAAAGCTCGAAATTCAATCGCCGTGCACTGTTCGAGATGTTTGTGAATGAGACGACAGCGAGTTTTGTTTTGTTTGCCGTATTATGAAGACGTTGTGCCTACAGAAAAGAACCGATGAGCTTCGTGTCAGCGCAAACGTGAACCACCATCGCTTAGTCGAAAGCCACTTGATCTCAAGTAACACAAAGACCAAGGATGCTTGGCTGAACGGTGCTGTTGTCAACGAAAAGGGCCCTTTCCGTTGCGTCTCGCTGCAGTCTCTGGCCCATAAAACTCGCAGTGCTTCAACATGTATACTGTGTGAATCTTTTGTCGCATCGATCAGAGAGCTAACCGTCACGTTTAATGAACGCGTGGGTTTTTGTGCTGGGTTAATACGCTTAGTCGAATCATTATGTTTCCATCACACCGCAGGTCACATTCGATCGGTGGTATCGACTTATGTCTGCTCAAAACAACCTCAACGTCTCTCGGAATAGTATAGTAGTGAGACGTTGAGATTTTTCTCTTCATACCAGTGAGCTCATTTTGGAACTTGCGGTTGGCTAGCAAGTTCACGACCATTCTACATCACTAACATCGACTGGCGGAATCGCAATGGCGTTTAAGCTTGTGACGGGTGATCTCATCCGTCTTGTGGAGACTCCGCACGAGAAAATAGGCGAACAACTCGAAAGTGTGGGTTGGCTTGAAGGCGTTGCTGCTGCTCTACAAGTAGATCTTCGTCAAGGACTGGACGCCAACAATGCTGATGATCTACGCAGACGCGAGGAATCCTTCGGCAAGAATTACATTCCTCCGCCCAAAGCTAAGAGTTTTTTGGAGCTCATGTGGGATGCATTCCAGGACGTCACTATCATCATTTTGACAATCTCGGGCATCTTCTCGATCGTCCTGTCCTCCACCGTAGGTGACCACAAAGAAACCGGGTGGGTTGAAGGCGCTTGTATTATCTTGGCTGTCGTAGTGGTCACTCTGGTGACGGCGGTAAACGACTACCAAAAAGAACAGCAGTTCCGTTCTCTCAACGCTGTAAAAGAGGATGAAAAGATTAAAGTCATTCGCAATGGAGCACCCGCAGAGGTGAGCAAGTGGAACCTGCTGGTAGGTGACATCGTGCGTGTGGATCTTGGTGATATAATTCCAGCGGATGGCATGGTGTTCGACGAGAAGGAGCTCAAAATGGACGAAAGTGCCATGACTGGAGAGTCCGATTTACTAACCAAGAACCACGAGAACCCATTCTTATTGTCGGGTACCAAGGTCATGGAGGGGCTGGGTAAAATGCTAGTAGTGTGTGTTGGTGAGAACTCACAAGCCGGTGTCATTAGGAGCTTGATCAACGGAGCACGAGGGAAGAAGAAGCCGAAAGATGACGATAAGAACAGTGCGGATGGGAGCCAGGACACCGACGAGATCTACGTGGAAATCGACACGCCAAAGGTGCCAGCTAAGGAAGACCGAGACGAATTTGATGGTGCCGAGGACTCGCAGTCTCCACTGGAGGGCAAGCTGTATAACCTCACCATTTTGATCGGTAAACTCGGCACGGTTGTTGCACTGCTGGTGTTTGTTATCATGTCGATCCGCTTCTCGATCGACAAGTTCGCAGTCGACGACGTGCCCTGGAAGAATAGTTACATCAGCGACTATCTCAACTTCTTCATCATCTCCATCACGGTACTGGTTGTCGCCATCCCAGAAGGTCTTCCTCTTGCCGTGACGATCGCTCTAGCGTACTCTGTGAAGAAGATGCTGGTTGACAATAATCTCGTCCGACATCTCGACGCCTGTGAGACCATGGGGAGCGCCACAACGATCTGCTCAGACAAGACTGGAACACTGACGACGAACCGCATGACTGTCATGAAGATCTGGATCGGAGACGAAGAGTTCTCGTCCGCGAGTGAGGGTATTGGAGCTCTTACTGACGAGACGAAGGAGGCACTTTGCCGCGGAATCGCGATCAACTCGACTGCCGAGATCTTGCCACCAAAAGTAGAGAATGGACTTCCTGAACACACAGGCAACAAGACGGAGTGTGCCTTACTCCAGTACATTCGAGACGGTGGTGTCGAGTACGACGAGATCCGAGCTAACAACGAGATCGTCCACATGCTGACATTTAGCAGTGCCAAAAAGCGCATGTCCGTCGTGGTTCGACGTGGAGACTCCAAGTGTCGAGTGTACACCAAAGGCGCGACTGAAGTTGTTCTGGGACTGTGTAAGCAGATGCAGCGCACGAACGGGATGACTGAAGCTCTGAGTGGCGCTAGGAAGAGCGAGATTGGCGCAAATGTGATCGAGAAATACGCGTCTCAAGGATACCGCACGCTGTGTCTTTCGTACCGAGACCTAGACGTTCCAGCTGAGGAGGTGAACAACTGGGTTGATGAAGATGTGGAGAAGGACTTGACTTGCGTTGCCATTGTTGGTATCGAAGATCCTGTAAGACCGGAAGTACCTGGAGCGATTCAGCACTGCAAACGCGCAGGAATCACCGTTCGTATGGTGACGGGAGACAACATTACCACTGCGCGCTCCATCGCTGGTAAGTGTGGCATTATCTCGCAAGGCGATGGATCTCTCGTCATGGACGGACAGACATTCCGCTCGAGAGTTCTGGACGCTAATGGTAACATCATTCAGGCGGAATTCGACCAGATCTGGCCCATGCTTCGCGTTCTTGCGCGTTCGTCTCCAAAGGACAAGTACACTCTCGTAACAGGCTTGATGCAAAGCAGTTTGATGCCTCACGGCCCTCAAGTTGTAGCTGTGACTGGCGACGGCACGAACGATGCTCCAGCACTGAAGAAAGCCAACGTTGGCTTCGCCATGGGCATCAGCGGCACTGCTGTGTCTAAGGACGCGTCGGATATTATCCTCATGGACGACAACTTTAACTCGATCGTGAACGCCATCAAGTGGGGCCGCAACGTCTATGACTCGATCTCCAAGTTCCTGCAGTTCCAGCTGACAGTCAACGTGGTCGCCATCATGCTCGCGTTCATCGGCGCTGTGGTCTTGGAGCAGTCTCCTCTCTCCGCTGTCCAGATGCTATGGGTCAACTTGATCATGGACTCGTTCGCGTCCCTCGCACTGGCAACCGAGGAACCTACTCCAGCCTTACTGGAGCGCAAGCCGTACCCAAAGACGCAGCCTTTGATCTCCAAGAAGATGACTAAGCACATCCTCGGTCAGTCGATCTTCCAGCTTGCTCTGCTCTTGGCTATTGTCTTCAGTGGCGAGAAATGGTTCAACCTTCCTTCCGGTCGCGTGAATGACTTGGGAGAAGAGCACAAACACGACTCCACCAAGCACATGACGATCGTCTTCAACACCTTCGTGTGGATGCAGCTGTTCAATGAACTCAACTGCCGCAAGATCCACGACGAGCTCAATATCTTCAAAGGTATCACGAAGAACCGCGTGTTTCTCTACGTCTGCGTACTGCAAATCGCCATGCAGGTGGTCATGGTGCAGCTCACGGGCGACTGGTTCAACTGCACGCCACTTGAAGTCAATCAGTGGTTCGCCTGCATCGGAATGGGCTTCATCTCTCTTCCGCTTGGACTTGTACTGCGCTCCATTTCAACCAAGAACGCCCCGAGCTGGATGGCGCTATGTCGCGAGGTTGATGTCGAACAGGTCCGGCAGGTGACGTCTGCACGGGGTCAGCAGCTGTGGCTAAGGAGTTTTGCTCTGATCCGCGCTCATATCCGCGTGGTCAAGGCCTTCAAGAAGGGACTGGAAACCAAGGCTCTTCTCCAGGCGTAGTAAACTCAGAAATCTTCATTCACTCGTTGAATCTCCTTGTTACCTATCCACGTACCGTTTCCACTTCTACGATGTAGCGCAGTCTTGCCTGAGTTTCTTGATACACCACAAGCTCGGCGTACTCGGATAGAGGAGGGAGCACAAGTGCAAAGTCCTCTGGTAACTGCGCCGCTCGACGTGCATTGTGGTAAAGTTTCGCTCTGTAACTGTAGCCAGGTCCACTTTCCAGTGTGATTGTCACTTTAACTGTAGCCTCACACCATAGCAGGGCGTCGAAATCTTCATCTGGGTGTGAGCTGTCCCTATCGATCAGTTGAATGGCAACAGTGCGTTTGTTTTCCGAGACGAATAGCGGTCGATCCGCGTCGTTCACAGTACGTGTATCACCTACCGTGAAGCTGGGATCTTCAAGAAGTGTAGCGAGGTAAAGTTGGGTATCGTCTGAAAACCTGGGGGTGCGTTCAGACCAATGACTTGGAGTGGGGGATGGCTTCGTCTTGGCCCATGCGCGATCGAACGGAAGACTTCCTCCTAACACCATCGCACGTCCGAGATGAACTTTAGCGCCAGATTTTGGGGAAACAATTGTACCGCGAGGGTCAGGGGTGTACTTGGCCAGAACTTTGACACTATCCAATGCCTCGAGTGGCATTTTCTGGTGTCTAAACGAGATATCCGTAGTCAGTTCCATTGATTTCCCCAACGCCACCTCACAAAGCACCATGTACTGGACTTCCCTCGTTGTGTCCTCATGGTATAGAGTCGGCAGCGCGTACGGTTCGTCACAGTAATGTAGACTCTTCTCGGCCATGTCGGCAAAATAAACACCCTTGCCGAACGCATAGCCGTTGTGTGAAGCCTCAGGAGGAGCTACTCGAAGTCCACGTGACAGAATCCCCATCAGGTTAGTCCGTTTCGTTCCATGCCATAGTAAATGTGTCTGGGTAGCTCTCAAGTCTGGACGCTTTTCCATAAGATCATTGAACCGTTGAGTCTCTCCACTACGTTCCACTTCGAACACGTTGCTGATGCGATACTGTCGACGATCAGAAGAGCGTAAACCACCGAAGAAGTAGCGGTGAATGAGCTGTCGTTCTGGGTCAGCAGGTTGCAGCGGTGCAAGACGCACTTGCAACGCGTGGTAATGGTACTCCAGCGGATGTTGGATATGTTGGAGTCGCTTGGCTCCGAGGAGCATCTTGTGCATCTCCATAGAGTAAGACAGCATCCGCAATCGTGTCATCTCCAGATGCACGTCGCTAACCTGATCGAAAGCCTTGATCGAAGTAGCGAGAGCGTCCTCTTGACACGGCATAGCCTCGTAGTAACGACAGCTACGCTCGCTCAATTTCTCTATAAGAGCGTCGTGGCGAGTAGATAGTAGAGCACGCTTGGTGGCTCCCTCGTCGCTTACGCCGTCTTTGGCAGTATTGATCTCCTTGACGAGCTCCTCCTTCTCCTCCAAAACACCTCGGATCTCGGCCAGATTTCTCAACGCAACTCGGATGTCATCCTGTTTAGCCAGGAGCAGGTTGCCACCAGCAAAGCCACAACTCGTGTGTGCCGCGTGCTTCAAGTTGCGCACGTCTGTGACGGCAGCTAACATCACCATGACGCTAGGAGAGGACATCAAATCTGGATCACGAGGCTCCGGGAACACCACACTCTTACTAGCTCCACTTTCCATGTCCTCTCGGAATGATCTCGTCACTTCATCGTCTATCTTGGTCGAGTGGCTCACGCGGTGAAAGAGGTTGTATTTCGTGGGTTTCTTCACAAACTCGCCTGGAGCACGTGACTCCCACGCGTTGCCTGTTTTGCTTCGGAAGATCTTTTTGAACTCGTTCACAGCCTCCGTTTCATCTCGGAACGGCGTGTTCTGGAACTTCCCCGTCTCGCCAATCCGTCCCCAGTTCGTGAACAGCAAGTAGACGTCCTCTACTTCATCGTGTATGAGCTGCAGACGAAAGAAAACACTAAGCCCGCTCTTTGCACGAACCTTGGTTAGCAACGCGTCCAGCTCCGTACCCTCTCCGTCATTTTCACAATGTACTCTGCTATCTCCACTGTAGTCATAGTTATCATCTACTCGGGTAACAACCAGAGAGCGCGAGATCTGGCCTGACGTCTCGCATTCCGCCAAATACGCACTAGCATCGTCCGAATACGCTGGAACAGCAGCAAACACCGTGGTAGATTCGGTGACTTCACCGTGGACTGATACGATGTCCGGGAATGTCCGTTCAAGGAATCGAATAACGAGGCGTGAGCGCTGGGCCAGTGCGTAGTCGATAACAGTCTTTCCAGTAGAGTCCTTGACATAGAGGTCGCCACCGGCACGGACCAGCGTCTCTAACAAGCGCGTGTTCTCATAGGAACCATAATCGAGTGGCTGTACTGCCATGTGGCACGCCGTTAATCCCTTGGTGTTGCGCTTGGCAAGTGCTGCCTTGACACTTGCCTCTGGAACATGAAGAGAACACTCACGAGTTTTATCCTTCGGGTCCGACACTGATCGAACGAGTCCTAGTGCGAGACGGGTCTCAGTAAACATGTTACGTGCAGCAAGGTGCATCAAGAGAGTGTTACCCTTGCCGTCGGCGGCGGACAAATCAGCACCATATCGAAGCAAGAGAGCAAGCGTGTGATACCTCATAAAAGCTTCCGGGGTAAAGGCAACGCGTACTAGTAGCGGGATTTTGTCCTCATCTCCTTTTACCAGCATAGTGGCCACTCTTGGCTCCCATGATTCGACGTCATTTGAAATTTTTCTTACGAGTGAAGCACCGCGCAGGCTTTGAAAGCATACATTTGGGCTCACACCACGCTTGAGCAGCTTTTCAATCCATGTGAAGAATACAGACGGCTTCGAAAGTGCCAGGCTTTCCATGAAGCGATCCAAGAAAGCACTCAGTGCGTTCATTCCCGACGCATCAACCACATTCCCGTCAATAGAGAATAGCGGGTGATCCATAAAATAACAAAATATTGCCAGCAGCGCATCTTCAGCCAAACCACCAGCTCGATGTATCTGTTTGAGAGTAAAGAGTAACGGAGTCTCACCACGCTCGTTAACAGAATTCTCAGTGCCTTGTCCACTGCTCTGATGATGTAAGAAGTCCATCAATTGAGTATTGCCTCGCTTTGCAGCGTAATGCAACGCGATATTCCCCTTCCGGTCTTTTGCATCAACAGACACTCCAGCATCGATGAGAACCCACGCGAACTTCTGAGCAAGAGGATTGAAACCAATTTGGGCCGACTTTGCAAACGAGTGCAGCAGCGTCTCGCCCTTCTCGTTCGGTTGTTTCAATGTCTCCAGTCCTCCATCACCTCCAGCATGTAGAACTCCAAGTAGGTTATTAGCCAACTGCAACTGACCACAGCGAATCGCATCTTCAATCGCTTGTCGTCTAGGGAACTTGGCACTCAGCAACATATGGCAAACTCCAGTAAGCCCATGCATCACGGCGTGATAGAAATAAGTGCGGAACTTTAGCGTTCGGGCTTGCTCCATTTCGCCGTTTTCCTTTGAGGTGGCGTCGCGAGATGCAGTCGAAGCGAACTCGACACGCAGCTTGCCATTCACTTCTGAGCCACTTCGCAATAACGTCATTATCACGGTAAGTCTCTTGTGTCGCACCGCCAGTCCGAGAGGTGTAAAACCATTCATGTCCTGCATATCCATCGCCTTCTTCTGGGTGTCCAAGTCTCCCAAAGCGCTGAGTAATGTGGACACACAGACGAAAGCCCCAGTAGCTGCTGCCAAGTGCAGTGGAGTATGTCCCATCGAATCTACTGCCAAGATGTCGACATCAGGATCCGCCACAAGATTTGAGACAGTCTCCACAGGATCAGACTCCTCGCTTGGGATACGACGAGGTTGTAAGCTCTGACGCTTCTTGTTTTCACTATTTGATGCTGCATCTTCCGCATTATCCAGGAGATTCGAAGTGTTTTTGAATGTATCCAGACTGACTTTCAGCAGCGCTAAGTGAAGAGGACTAGAACCAAGAGTATCCGCAGTATTCGCCTTGGCACCATGATCCAGTAAAAGCTGCTCAATATTAAACGAAGCTTCAGCATTCACAGCAGCTGAGTTAACAGCGTAGTGTAAGGGTGTGCGGCCCATACAATCAGGCTGGGTCACAGCGAGTTTTGCTGCAGTTGGCCCAGCAGACTTTAGTAGGGCACGGAGAAGCTCCAAATTCCGATACCGAGCTGCAAAATGAATTGGCGATCGATTCTTGTGGTCACATAGGAGGACAGCGCTCGCTGCATAGGGGTCCTCTAGCGCGACAAGAACTCCAGATTTCCCAACTGGTGCACTGCCGTGATGCTCCTCATTTCTTCTCTTCAGCTCGACTGAAAAGCCTGTATTCTCCGAGGAAGAAGAAGTGATCATAGTCACGACTGCGTAGGCTACTTTTCCAGAATGAACCTCTCTAGCAGGTATAACGTGACGTGCTATCACAGCAGCGTGCAATGGTGTGTATCCACGGGTATCTTGAGCTAACAAACTCGCTCCATGCAAGAGTAAATCGTAGACGAGGCGGGAATTGTTCAGTCGGAGCGCGACATGCAACGGTGTTTCTCGTTTTGTTGCTGAAACACAATCCGTGCGAGCGCCATGATCAAGCAGGGAATGCACCATCGTCGTCATTTTTTTCTTCACAGCTTCAAGTAACGCAGGTCGTACAAGTTCTTTTGTGCCGCATGTGCCTTTGCAAGCTTCGTCAGCGCTACTGGCCTTAGGTGTCCCGCCTGCCTGCTCAATAGCATCGTTAATCGCAGAGGCTCTGCAAAAAGCACACCGAATAGGTGAGATGTTGGGATCAGCACCGAACCGCGCAAGTAGCAACTTCGCCGTCTGTAAGTCTCCCTTCTCCACTACAAAATGCAACGCGGTTCTGAAGGTTCGCAGGTCCACGAAATCAACCAACGAAGCTGTTCCACCCTTCTTCGTAAAATGCTCTGGCCGCTTATCGATTAGAATTTCCACCAGATTTGGCCCATACCATTGCATCCAGGAGAGCTTGGGCTCACACATCAGCTTTCCCTTAGTAAGCTGATGTAGCACAGTTTCATACTCGATTTCAACTGGTGCGGAGCTCTGGTCGCCCTTTCCATCAAGAAAAACACTTGTAGTGTTATCGCTAAGAATTTCTGTTGTTTTCCACACCTGATCAGCTCTCATAAACCGTACGTAGGATTCCCGTGAACTCGTGAACTCCAAGTATAGCTTAAATAACTCCGTCACGCGCAGATCAATGTCACGCATCAGCTGGACCATGTTGGGATCAGCTTCGTGCTTGGCTGATAGAACCCCTCGCTCGTGCTTCGGATCAAGGAGCCGCATCAGTGGAGAAAACCCAGACGAGTCCCGTTCGCGCATCATGGCTTCAGTCGTAGGGCAGCGTTCACAGATTTGACGAATAATCTTGGGCACTGCAGAGAGTTTGGCCGCTTCATGATGAGCTATGAAGTGGAAAAAGTTTTCACCAGATGACTGCAGTCTTGTGTCCAAAAGTAAAGGGCCATTTTGTGTAGTCTTTACGTGGTGAGTAAGTAGCTTGGACAGATATACGTCGCCAGTTCCAGCTCCTAGAGACGCTGCGGTCATCCATGCGTCTGGGCCATCAGACGCTTGTGCGTTGACGTTGATACTCTCTTGATCGAGTAGCAAGTCCACGATTTCAACTTGACGGCCTACCACTGCCTGCTGTAAGGGCTGCATCACAATTCTTTCTGCAGCTGCCGTTCCCTGCTGAAACAAATCATACTGCAAGTGTGCTCCATGCTCAATCAAGAGGCCAATAGCTTCGGTGTAAAAACCCGAGCCGTTGTTCAGGCCGCCACTGGTGTCACAAGCACGCTTGATCAATTGCTGCAGTGGATACTCACCGTCTGAGTTGCTGATGTTCGGATCAAGTCCCTTTTCCAGCAGATAACTGATCGGTTCAAGATTGGTAGCGTGCTGGCACTGCAGGAACAACATCGTTCGACCGTGGCGATCTCTAAAATCCAGCAATTTTCCTTGCTCATCGGCACTGACTTGATTTAGAAGAAACTCTCCACAAACACGGCGTTGTTTCAGTAGAGCGCATGTTAGAGCGGTAAAGCCTTGCGAGTTTTGAGCCCGTAGTTCAGCCCCCACGTCGAATAATAACTGAAGACACGAATGCCAACCATAACTAGCCGCATAGTGAGCGACGCTGTTCTCCGAGGAATCGTAGGCATTTACGTTCGCGCCACTATTGATAAGCTCAGCAGCGATTCGAGTATGTCCGTTCTTCACTGCTAAGATCAGCGGCGTCTTCTGGAAGTCGTCCCCAAAATCTACACGAGCACCGTTCGCCAATAGTATCCGTACACACTCCAAATGGCCATTCTGAGCAGCAAGCGCCAGCGCAGTAGCTTTGGTTGTTCCTCCACTCCGGGCGTTTACTTTCACTACGTCTCCACACTCAGTCAAGAGATACGTTAACACTTCTGCGCATCCATTCATCGCTGCGAAATGTACCGCTTGCTTCCCTTCAGGGCCTTTCATACTGACGAGCTGGTCAGCGACGTCTTGATCGAAGTTTTCAGCAGCAAATCGAAGCAGTGCGAGGGCATTTTCTTCGCGTCTAGCCTCTAACGCACACATAAGCGGAGTCAATCTCCCCTTCGTACGGCCGAACATACTGCAGCGTTGTTCTAAGAGGAACTGCATTGGCGCTGGGGATTCACAACCTGCTGCATAGTGAATCGCCTCGTATCCTTGGCTGTCCTTGACTTCGCTGAACTCGTCGCCTATCACAGCCCACAGTACCTTCAAATATCTTGCGTTTGGGTTGATCGCTGCCAAGTGCAGCGGACGTAACCGAGTCTGGTGTGCCTGCTTAATGGCCATTGCCGACCCAAACGGGGGTAGTAAGGGTCCATCTCCTTCAGCTGGGCCGGCAGCGAGCACTTTGTGATGCAGTTCGTTAAAGCCACAGCCACCGTTCTCTTCCAATGTCTCGACGACTTTACGCACCAAGCGGAAGTTCCCACACCGCGCTGCACAACGAACGTGCGTCCAAATTGAGTGGTTCTCACCCCAGTCGCTCGTCGGGTACAGTAGCGCGAGCATCTCCACACTGGCAGAGCGACAACCCCAAAAGTAGTCGATTGGTGAAAGAATTCTAGTCCCAATACCGCTGATATCCCCCAACAGAGCATCGTTTCCCCAGTTGCTCTCTATACGGTGATAACTGGTGTATTTAGTCACGGGCTGTTCAGTCAAGACTGAAGGCAGAGCCACCTCCGGAGCAGCAGCGAGCTTCTCCTTGTCTACCTTCTCGTCCGTTTGACGCAGCAGAGCCGCAGCTGCTAGATCGTTGTTGTCGATAGCATAGTGGAGAGCAGTACGACTGACGTCAGCGCTACGAGGAGCGTCGAACGTGCTGAGCTCAGCGTACACGTCGGCGTCGGTCGTGAGTTTCTTGAGCAGCTTGATGTTCCTGGTCAGCACAGCTCGCACGACCTCACGATTGGCTGAGTATACGTCTCCATTAAAGGACTCGAAGGGCTGGGAGCCCAGTAGCTCTCGGTCTTCGTACTTGGTCTCGTCTACTGTTGTTCGCAGTGGAGCGATATGCATAGCCATCTCTCGCTTGCTGAGCTTCTGGCTCTTGCCTTTGCCTCGTCCTGTGGACGTCTTGGTGTCCTCCTCTCCAGATCGGCGCTTTCTGGTTGTTACTAGAGAAGGTGGAGGACGTTCGTTGTCTTCTGGGTCATCGTCGTCGTCCGGTACCTCCTCACCCGCCAGCTTCGCCTTGGTACGCGCCAGACAGCGCTGCACTCTTGCCAGCGACTTGGGCGTGAGCTCCAAGGCTGTTGCGCTCAGCTCACGAAGGTAGACGTGGCACAGAATGCTGCCACCGTCCACCTGCTCGTCATACGCGATCTCGTAGCGTCTTTCAGCGGTCTTGTTGAGCCACGTGACGTGGACACTCACGTCCTCTTGAGACAGCATGTCTTCCGTCACGTCGTCCTGCAGCTGAGCGAGCCAGAACTCGTCCACTGGTTTCTTGCCCTCCGTTGACTCCATGTTTACATCATTGTCTTCCTCTTTCTTCTCTTCCTCGTCCTTCAGTGTCTTTTTGGCGCGCGTCGAGCGTCTCGTGGGTTGCTTTTGGCCTTTCTTGGCCTTCGCCTTGCTCTCCGGAGCCGCTTGCTCCTCCTCTGGGGCAGCTAACACGGCCACGTAGCTCTGCGCAGCCAGCGCCACCTCCCAGTCCGCCTCTTGCCACTTGCGCTTGCCGACCATGGTGCAAATTGAAGTGGGTTCATCTTTCGGTATGGGAATACAAGCTAGATTATAGCTTTTTAATAAGTGTTTTAGCAACGTGTGTTAACATACGAAAACATGTAACAACACCCCTGTTTTTACTGTTGGATGGCATTCAGCCGAAAACAACCCATAATTTTTAATGTTTTTTTTTTCGTCTGAATGCCATCCAACAGCAAAGCATTATACACTGGGAACCGTATACTGTATACTTAGTACATGTGTTGTCAATCAAATTATTTATGTGAAGTATTAGTTTTTGACATCTTCACACTAATTAATGACTAAATGCGAGCTGATACTAATTTAGGTACGCCAAAAAGAGTCAAACTATTGCACTTTTGCTTGGCGATGCCATGTATGTCACAACATTCATGATGTATGACTTTCATTTCTATCCTGTCGAATTACAATAATATCATTTTTTAACGGCACTATTTTCTTGAAATATAGTTTTAACGCTTTCAAATCTTATTCGGAAGAATACAACTAGATCGCTTGCGCTCATCCCGGGAGGGTTAAGTAAAGTCTCAAAATTCACGTTTTGTATTGGAAACCTAATCGTTTTCGTTGTCTTGCAGCTTTTCCGGTTCAGTAATGCCTCAAATGTCCCTGCTACCGTGAAATCGATCCGCACAGGGCGGCAACAACCTGTACCAGTGAAGCTGTTACTGAAGAAAATCTATGGCTAAGATATGAGCGCAGCGATCGGCTCAGCGTAGCCGATCGCTATGCACATGCTGCGGAGAAAAAAATGTCGGCGGTTGTGGTCTATTGACATTCTTCAAGCCTTATTATGCGCTCTGGGCTTACTGTACCACGTCGGTCACTCGAAGGATAACTTGATCAATTTCTGAGCGAGTGAGACTTTTTTTATAGTCGTGGTTTGCCACGTGTACGTTTTGAATCCTTCGTACTTGAATAGTACATGCCTTTGGCACATAGATGCGTTAGGGCCTGGTCATCATTAAGTTAATAAGCAATCACCCACGCACGCGCAACAAGTTGATCGACGGTCATCCAAGCATAATGTTCCTTGAAGTCTCGTAATGTTACCTGTAACTCAGTCGACATTTTGGAACGATATAATGTCTGTGATGCCCTACAGGAGATTCCGTATCCCTTCCGGTATAGTACTATCTTGGAATATGTTGAGGTCTTCCACAAATTTAGTGATAAAATATTGGTGTAGTTCATAGTTAGAGTAGCCGAATACCAGGGTTCTCGGGACGGTGTATGTAAAAATAAATACAGCCAGCAGTCATATCGCTTGCACTTAGTAGGGCGTTTGCCTGATTGTAAAACGTACTACATTTACTTGTCCTGAGTATGTACAGCCCTTAGTTCGTGTCAGGACTCCCGAATAATGCATAATGACATGCATTAAAAAAAGTACATTAATTTGATCCCATTATGTATGGAGACACTGCGAAGCTGGAAATGCATAATGTATGGGACGAGAATATGCGCAAGCATTATTAATATGGAAAACCCTAGCCGTACTTATTTTCACACCGATCTATTAGCATGTAAAACAACCACCAGTTCTCTGTCTAGGGCTTTGTCTGATGAATTTCTCAATCTCCCACAGAAATACTCGTTTTTTTGAAGTCGTGCTTGAGTACACGTATGGTTTAGTAATAATGTTTAAAGTTTAATGTTGACTGGTTCACCTATCTTATGACAAAGGATCGAGGACGTAATTTTTATGCGTCCAAACTGAAAATGACTCGCCTGGAGTCTATCAAGAAATCTAGCAGTCAATCGAGCCACTCTCGATCTTGCGGAACATTTTCAAGGTGGCACGTAACTGCTGCTCCTATTTCCATTAATGCCATTAATGGCCATTATGTATGGGTGCCTCCTTGTGTTTGCTAAATCGCACACGAACCAGGGCTCCCCGATAATGGCTATGGCATGTCTTTTTTTTTTTTTGGAGTCACGAATACATTACGCTTTACTAGTTACAATTTGTCATTACAAATCCGTCAACCCATTTCATATCCTAATATATGTACCCACTTCGACTTCAAGCGTCGCCAGACGACCGACTACACTTCCAAATCCGCACTCACCAACAAAAGTAGCAGAAAGTAGCACACTCAGATCATCGTCATGGTCGGCAAGCGCAAGTGGCAAGAGGCGGACTGGGAGGTGGCGCTGGCTGCGCAGAGCTACGTGGCCGTGTTAGCTGCCCCAGAGGAGGAGCAAGCGGCTCCGGAGAGCAAGGCGAAGGCCAAGAAAGGCCAAAAGCAACCCACGAGACGCTCGACGCGCGCCAAAAAGACACTGAAGGACGAGGAAGAGAAGAAAGAGGAAGACAATGATGTAAACATGGAGTCAACGGAGGGCAAGAAACCAGTGGACGAGTTCTGGCTCGCTCAGCTGCAGGACGACGTGACGGAAGACATGCTGTCTCAAGAGGACGTGAGTGTCCACGTCACGTGGCTCAACAAGACCGCTGAAAGACGCTACGAGATCGCGTATGACGAGCAGGTGGACGGTGGCAGCATTCTGTGCCACGTCTACCTTCGTGAGCTGAGCGCAACAGCCTTGGAGCTCACGCCCAAGTCGCTGGCAAGAGTGCAGCGCTGTCTGGCGCGTACCAAGGCGAAGCTGGCGGGTGAGGAGGTACCGGACGACGACGATGACCCAGAAGACAACGAACGTCCTCCACCTTCTCTAGTAACAACCAGAAAGCGCCGATCTGGAGAGGAGGACACCAAGACGTCCACAGGACGAGGCAAAGGCAAGAGCCAGAAGCTCAGCAAGCGAGAGATGGCTATGCATATCGCTCCACTGCGAACAACAGTAGACGAGACCAAGTACGAAGACCGAGAGCTACTGGGCTCCCAGCCCTTCGAGTCCTTTAATGGAGACGTATACTCAGCCAATCGTGAGGTCGTGCGAGCTGTGCTGACCAGGAACATCAAGCTGCTCAAGAAACTCACGACCGACGCCGACGTGTACGCTGAGCTCAGCACGTTCGACGCTCCTCGTAGCGCCGACGTCAGTCGTACTGCTCTCCACTATGCTATCGACAACAACGATCTAGCAGCTGCGGCTCTGCTGCGTCAAACGGACGAGAAGGTAGACAAGGAGAAGCTCGCTGCTGCTCCGGAGGTGGCTCTGCCTTCACACTCAACCGGCCAGCACACGAGTCGCTTCAGTGACTACAATCGACGTGCTATCAATGCCAGTCGTGGAGGGAAGGAAGGGAACAATGCGCTGCTCGGAGATAGCTACGCTCCTCGTGCTGCGACCTTGTCGCTTGACTATCTGTGGCGTAGTTCGAACGCGAGCGTCGAGATGCTCACGCTCCTGTACCCAACAGGAGACTGGACGAATGGGTATGTCGTGGGGAACAATGTGTGTCACTTGGCACGCTGTGGAAACTACCGGCTAGTACGCAAAGTTGTCGAGACTTTGGAGAAGAATGGAGGGTGGGGATTCAATGAGCTACACCACAAAGTGCTTGGAGATGGCTCGACTGATGGAGATACGCCGTTGTTGCCACCATTCCGAGCTGTTTCAGCAATTAAGCAAGCTCATCAAACGCGACTTCGACCGTTACATCTTGCAGCAATCAACCCGAACACGAAGTATCTCGAGGAGCTTTGGGCTGTTGCAGGCGACGAATTCAGCGCGATCAAGGACGACCAAGGGTATGAACCCATCCACTACGCGGCAGGATGCGAGTTTCCCGAACCAATGAAGTTTCTTTTGGAGAAACGCTGCGGCATGTTTGGCCGTACGAAGACTCGTTTGACGCCGCTGATGTGTGCTCTAGAAGCGGGACGTGAGGAGACTGCACTTGCGTTACTCCAGTTCGCTGCCACACCGGGAGAGAGCGGCGGAGGCGGCCAAGAAGTTGCTGACAAGCTTGTTCGTGAGAAAGGTCCTGGTGGAAAGCAGGCGATCCACTTTGCAGCACGTCATGGATGCGCCAAGGTGCTTGAATACCTACTAACCGAATGTGGAGGTGCTACGGATGTGAATGCTGTGAGTGGAGGATCGAATAAGTCCACGCCATTGACTTTTGCGGCGCAAAATGGTCATTTGGAATGTGTACGTGTCTTGTTGGCTAACGGTGCACGCGTTGATCTTGGTGATAAGCTCAAGAAGACCCCGTTGATACTAGCAGTGAAGAACGGTCACACACGTGTGGCTGCTGCGCTCATCAATAGTGGCGCGAACGTGAACGTCTATGATACCTCGGAGAACAGCGTTGCTCACTATGCGGCAAGCTATGGCTGGCCGTCTTGTCTTCAGCTTTTGTGCGACGTTGGTGCTGAGCTTTGGGCTCAGAATGCGTGGGGATTTGTACCGCTAGCGTGTGCACTGCTAAAACAGCGTCGAGCCTGTGCTGAGCTCATTTTGGCTCAAGTTAGTGGCGAAGCACAGCAGAAGTTCCTGGATTTCAGAGACCGCCAAGGTCGCACGATGCTGTTCCTGCAGTGTCAGCACTCACACAGTCTCGAGCAGCTGAGCTATCTACTGGACAAGGGGCTTAATCCAAACATCAGCGACTCGGAAGGTGAGTACCCATTGCAGCGGTTGATTAAACGGGCCTGTGACGAAGCCCCAAGAACCGGAGATGGTAATACTAGCAGCAGCAACCAGGAGCTCTCCAAGTTCTTTTTGGATGCGGTTAGTCTGCTCCTTCGACATGGTGCGCACCCGCAGTACGAACTTTATCCTGAAGATGCCAAAGATGACGAGAAAACGCAAACAATGCTGCAGCCTCTCCAGTTGGCGATGGTTGGCAATCAGACCGAGATAGTTGACCTCCTGCTTGAGCAGAATGGTGTGCAGTCTGATGCGCGATCTTCAGATGGTTCGGATGCCTGGATGACAGCTGCGGCGTTGGGCGCCGGGCTTGGAGATTCATACTTGTCGAAATTACTTGAGCATCACAGCAAAACGGTGAATGGACCACTGAAGCTGGCAGGAAGGTCGAGACCCAAACGTGACAACTTTTTCCACGTGGTGGCTAATCATGACGCAGCTCAACTCTCAGCAATGCCTGTGCTCATTCGTAAGTGCGCCGATAAGTGCCCGACAACGTCCGAAATGATGTGTGAGAAGGACGTAGATGGATACACCCCTGTCATGAAGTTGCTGGATCCAAGTCACGAGCGCAGTGTGCCTTCAGCAACGAACCAGACGGATCCGGATAAGCTGCAGAATATGCAAGATATCGACGCAAGGTTTGCTGACCTACTTGCCATTTATGCTGAGAAGTCGGCTAGCCGAGAATCCTTCGTGCGATGTGAGGAAGCTTCACGTCTTCGAGATCTCACTGGCATAGCCAACACCTCCGGGAACGATGGTTCTAGCGATGTCATCCCAAGTATCAGCGGTTTTGCTAGAAAAGCAATGAGCGTCTCGGATGGCTCTAATGACGGTGACTATGAGGATGATTCAGATGGGAATAATAGTGACGACGACGGTAGCACATCTGCTTCAGTTGATCGGAAAACGCCTGAGTCCACCGCAAAGGCTGACGATGAACCCAAGATTATGGTGCCGTACGAGACGGCATTGCACCTGATTGCTAGACGGAAACTCACGAGCGAGGCAACGAACCCGTGGATGAAATGGTACGGCTGTGCCAACCACTCTGCCAGATGCCTCATGCACCTTCTACTGGAGAAACGACCCGAGTTGTTTTCAACAAACCGCAACACCAAAGCCAAATCCTTGGTTAACGTCGTGCATCTCGGAAGCTTCAAGACGGCGCTACACTTTGCAGTGGAATCGGGAGACGCGCCTACTGTGCAACTATTGCTCACGCGCCAAGCCAATACTAACCTGTCTCCCGTACGGTGCTCAAACTGCAAGGAGTTCGCTATCATGGACGCTATAACACGAGCCAGTGGAGAGTCAACGATTAATCGTGAAAGTCACCCACCCTGCACGGGTAATTGCGGCTTGAAGACACTGCTGGAGCCGGCGTTATTTGAGGCTGTCAAGAGCAAGCACTTCAAGTGTACGCGCCTGCTTCTGAAACACAGAGCCGATGTCAACTGTGTCTCCAAGACCTCCCAGGAGACCCCGCTGCACGTTGCTCTTCGAGCTAATGATGGTGCATCCGTGAGTGCCCTTCTTTCGCATGGAGCAAGTCTCATGGCTCGCGATGCTTTTGGTGCCTCGCCATTGCATCTAGCTGTCGTTGCACGTCACTCTATCCCTGCAAAGGAGGCTCACGATGGAGAAGTCGCATACTCGACCGTGACGATCACTAAATCGTTTCCTGCTGGTCGTCCAATTCCCGCAAATACCAACTCGTTCACCGTCACTGTTTCGTCGGACACAGCCAACCAAAATGGCGTGTCGTCCCACACAGTGGAACCGGCTATCCTAGTCGCGTTGAAGGACTCAAGCGCCCCTCAAGCTGTCGTTGTCGGTGATACGAAGAACAGATCACCGGTCCATTATGCGGCGCGCAACCGTGATCTCGAGCTATTGCAGGAGCTACTCCGTGCTGCAGGGAAAAAGGGCGCTCGTAATGCTGTAAACCAACGCGATTGGCTCGGACGAACGCCTTTGCACTATGCTGTGAATGCCGCAGCCATGAGCGCAGATGCATCATTCGCTATTGAGCGCTTCCTCCTCCAGAGTGGTGCTGATGTGGCTATCCAAGACGATTTCGGCTTCAGCGCACTACATTTCGCACTCATTAAGGTGCAGCTGGAGTGGCAAGAAACGTATGACCAGACCCACAGAAGAACCCAAGGTCAGAAGGATCGTGAGGGACAAATTCGGGACGCCAAGATTTACGAGACTGAAAAGCGAGAGGCTTTCCTACGTGATCACCTGGGTGTTATTCCCGGTGGCGAGACGGATCCGGTGGAAACAGTGTCGAATCTGGCAACGGAACGAGGGCTTGTGGCACAAGATGTACTTGGGCGCTCACCGCTGCACCTTGCAGCGGCCACAGGTGCCTTCGTGTGTGTTTCAACGCTTCTAGCATCATCTGGTGACCCCAAGGAGCAGAAGGAAGCCATGACTCTCCAGGATCGAGACGGATTTACGCCACTAGGCCTTGCTGTTTTGCACAAACGACAGACAACCATCATGACGCTGCTGCGTAGTGGTTCTGCGGTCGACGGAACGCTTCGGATTGCCCAGAAATCCTCAAATGGCGATGTCTCCTCATGGCCAGAGAGGCAAAGAACTTCGACAACGCCGAAGAAGGAGAAAGTCAAGACTCGAAGCTACTTCTACCATGCTGTGAGCAATGGACTCACTGGTATCTGCCACATGTTGCTCAGCGCTAAGTTCTGCAGACGTCAAGCTATCGAAGACTCCGTGCGGTGTGGACAATTTCAGCTCGCTCACAACCTTTTAGGGGTGCTGGAATCTGGATCAGACGGCGGGATGGAACTATTGAAGCGCCCAAACTCACGTGGCGAGACCTTACTCCATTCTTTGGGTAAGACAAAGCAAACTGGCTTTGACACACTCGCGAAGAAGTTGGCATGGGCGCTTGTGGATGCTGGAGTACGTGTTGATGCCCAAGACAAGAAGGGTAACCGTGCAATGCACTACGCCGCGAAATGTGGCAATACTCACCTGATGGATTTCTTACATCACCAGAACGGAGGCTCAAAGAGTGAGAACGCGACGAACCACATGGGCGAGACGCCACTTCTCTTCGCTCTCAAGCAAAAATACAGCGGCCGTAATTTGAGTGATGATCAGCTGCTCACAGTGTTGTGCTACTTCTTGGAGCACCCTTCGTATTCGCTGGATATCCATGCAGTTGACAGCTCGGGGATGAACGTACTTGGTGCGTTTTTGGACCGCTTTATGGAGAGTTTGGCCGAGTCGAAACCTGTTTTGTTCTTCACGATGATGGAAAGACTACTGAAGCACGGGGTGGATCCTAATATCAGCTTTAACAGTGCGTACGCGACTTCCCTGGAACGAAGAAAAAAAACTAATGAGAATGAAGACAAGGATAAGCTACTACGGTCCGGTCGTGAGCTCTGCGAGATGACATCTATGGCGCAAGGAGACTCTGACAAGATGTCTGCACTCGTACGTGTTGCTATCACTCCAAACGTATCCACACGATATCATGCACTAGCTCTCCTGCTCCGATACGGCGCCAAACTATCAACTGCTGATGGCAGAGGCAACACGCTTCTAATGCATCTTGCCGCCCGTAACTTGGTTGCGGAGACCCGTCTCGCGCTTGGACTCGTTCGATCAGTACCGGACCCGAAGGATGTATTCACGTTCGCCCCGTCAACCCGTGTGTGCTCTCTTCATGTTCCAGAGGCGAGTGTGAAGGCAGCACTTGCTCAGCGCAATGCCGCGGGGTTAACAGCGTGTCACATCGCTGTGCAACCGCTAGAGTATGGTTCCTACGAGAACACGCGCTTGTTGGGTATGCTAGTCCGTGCTGGTGGCAATCTACGTGTCAAGGACTCTACTGGAAAATCCGCTATAGACTATGCACGGGACCAGCGCTCACGCTTCGTGCTCCGGTTCCTTCAACAGACATTCCCCAATATCGTGTCAAGTCAAGCCGAATCCACCGAATCTATTACGGTGTTTGCTGCTGCTCCAGCGTATTCGGACGATGCTAATGCGTATCTGGCGGAATGCGAGACGTCGGGCAAGATCTCGCGCAAACTGGTTGTGGCCAAGGTGAACGCTAGCTGTGATGTCGGGAAGGTAAGCAAAGTACATTCTGAAGGCGACGGAGAGGGTACGGAGCTGGACGCGTTGCTGACCAAGGTGGACGTGAAGAACGGACGCTTCGGTCTCAATGTCTTCTATCGCTTACAATTGGTTCGCGACGAACTACAGGATATCTACGTGCTGTTCACGAACTGGGGACGGATTGGCGAGACGGGGAAGTTCCAGAACACGCCGTTCCGAGATGAAACGGAGGCTGTGAACGAGTTCAAAAAGATCTTCCGAAGCAAAACAGGCAACGCGTGGGAGTCACGTGCTCCAGGCGAGTTTGTGAAGAAACCCAAGAAATACAACCTCGTTCAACGCGTTAACCACTCGACCAAGGTAGACGATGAAGTGACGAGATCATTTCGAGAGGACATGGAAAGTGGAGCTAGCAAGGGCGTGGTGTTCCCGGAGCCTCGTGATCCAGATCTTTTGTCTTCCCCCAGCGTCATGGCGATGCTAGCTGCCATCACAGACGTACGCAACTTGCAGCTCGCGGCACAGACAAGTTGTGGCTTTGCTGGTGGCGACTTACCCTTAGCGAAGCAGGATGAACTCCGAGATGCATTAGAGAAGCTGATCGAGATCCGTGGTTTGCTGGAGGAGAAGGAAGAGCTTGTTAAGGAGATCAGTACTGCCAGTGGTGATTTAAGCGACGAAGGAGCCACCAAGCGTGCCCTCCTTGCTACTCGCCATGAGGCTTTGACAGAGAAGGTGAGCGAGCGCAGCAGTCGATATTACGAGATCATGCCGTGTCAAGAAGACGCTTTAGCTTCTTCGATCAAGGCTTTCGATCAGGTGGATGACGTGAATGTGGAGATCACGCGACTACGAATGCTGTCGGACATAATGGAGACGTACAAGATGATTCTCGGTGCTAAGCGAGCACTCCCAACTCAAAATCCGCTTGAATATTGCTACCACGCGTTGCAAGTGCGCCTTGCGCCGCTGCTTCCTGCAGACGCTGAACGACAGCTCATTCACCGCTACTTCTTCGGTGGTTTACGCTCTTCTGATCGTCGACAGTATCGCATCAGCAACGTGTTTGAAGTGGAACGTCGTGGAGAGACTCAACGGTTCAATGATCTTATGGTGGAACGCCCGGACTTGAAGGCGATGCAGACACATTTGCTGTGGCACGGAACGAAACGCACTAACTTGATGGGGATTTTGTCGCAGGGACTGCGTGTTGCTCCTCCTGAGGCTCCGCATCATGGCTACGCATACGGCAAGGGATTATATTTTGCGAACGTAGCCCAAAAGAGTATGAACTACTGCGATGCTCCGTATGCACTACCGATCATGAAAGATGGCAAGCCCGACAAGACTACAAAGAAGACGCGCGAGGTGCACTACATGCTGTTGTGCGAGGTGTCACTGGGGAAGCCCACCGAGGTAACAACAACTGCAGCGTGGGGAACGGATCCTCTACCTCGTGAAGGAATGGACAGTGTGAAGGCATTGGCAGTGCACAATCCTAATCCGCGTGGTTCGCTCGTGTCACCGAAGTGTGGAACTATGCTACACGTTGGCCAAGTGATGCAAACGGGGGTAGAGCTGCCATACGACCGTGTTTGGGCCAAAACAGAGCCAAACCCAACACCATTCGGGTGGTATGAACGCAACCCGAAGTTCACAGCTGAGACGCAGGATTATCTCAGTAAACTCGTGGCAGACAAGAGTTTTGCTGTTGGTACTACCCACACTGTGAGTACTACAGGCAAAGATCGCGAGCACTTCGTGCAGTATCAGTACGAGCAGCGGACGATTATCATCGAGTTGGTAAGTCGTGACACTTCCGACTCAACTGAAGACGATGACAAAGCAGATACTGCGCCGCAAAAAGCTGGTAGTGGCGCTTGGTGCGAGGCCACGCTCAAGGTGACGATCCGACCGGAAGATGGCGGCGTAGCCTACAGCTACTCGGTCAAGCTCTATCGCAATACGTTGAAAAGCTCTCCTCTTGCCAAAGATTTCACACTGGTCGAGCCTGCGCTATCGGAATATGCTGAGCTGGTCGTGTACAAGGAAGCACAGGCGCGTATCCGCTATGTCGTCGAAGTGGAGACAGTGTAAGTTCATGTACTGCAGGGTTGTCTTGAAAGTATTTCTCTTATTTTTTCTGTTTGAGATTTCTTTACGTGGCTACTTGTGGTTGTTCCTGCTCTTGATTCATACTGTGAGTCTCTACTGACGTCTTGGGCTGTGGTTTAGTTCTTGTAGCTGACAAGATTCGTGCTTGTGTTGTCACGTTTTGAGTCTGATTGGTAGCGTACATGTTTCGTGCTTGCAGAGTTCCTCGAGCGTGTACGAAGCGTTGTTGTTCATGACGCACAAGGGCACGTAGCGTCTCATCTTCTTCGCGATTGCGTCGTCTGGCGTCCTCCTTGGCTCGTGCGTAGATGCTAGCTCTCTCCTGTTCTTCGTATTGTTTAGCGAGTCTCTGACGTTCACGATAGTCGGCATTCATACGGTGTTCTTGAGCACGGACGTTCTCCATGGTGATCGACTCATACTGGTGCGTGCCCTGTCGGTTCTTGGCTTGTCGTTCAAAGCCACACTTGAGCTGATCGAAGTGATTCTCTTCCAGCATATTCTTCGCAGCACCAAGGAATCGTCGTCTTGTAGCCAGCTCTTCAGACTCCAAGCGGAGCTTCTCAGTCTGCTGCGTACGCTCCTCTCGTTGACGTTTGAGCTTCTCTGCTAGCTCGAGGTTGTTTTTCCTACGAAGAGCTTGCTCTTCCATCTCCCTTGCTGCAGCTAGGGCTTTCTTCTTGCTACGAGCTGCAGCGTTTGCACTTGCGGTAGCTCGACGTCGACGTGCAGCACTCGTCGCTTTTTCAAGCAGATCGACACTCTTCTCCTGTTTGTCGGTCAGGATAGTTTCACGTCGAGATTCTTCCCAGCGTTTCTGGTCTTCATGGCGTACGCGAAGACGTTCACGGAGCTCTGCAAGTGACATTTCTTCCAGTAGACCCAGCTTAGCTGTCTCCGTAGGGTCAAACACAGCCACATGTTCACGGTGCACTCGGTCTAAAGCTCGAATCTGACGGATCAGGTCTTCGCGTGCTGCTCGCTCCTTGGCATCTTCCTGAGCTTTACGTTCTCTTTCAGCAGCCAAGAATTCCTGCAATGCATCGCGCTGTCGTGCGTTTTCTTCTCGAACTTGAGCCTCTGCTTCTCGCGGTGCTGTGTCACGTACACGCTTGACTTCCTCGGTGAGATTTCGGTATTTCTCGACCAGCTCGTTCTCCTCTTTTTCCCGTTCTTCAGCTCGAGCTTTCGCCTGTTCCTTCATCTCGTTGGCCACCTCTCGATTCTCGAGTTTGGCTTGACGTGCAGCCTCCATCGCGTCATATTGCGCTTGAACCATCTCAAGACGACGCGTCTCCACCTCGCGACGATAATTTGCTTCGTCTTGCTGCTGCATGTTGGCTTGCCAGCGGTAGAATTCGAGGGGATCACGTAGTTCTGACTCGTATGCACGGATTAAAGCTGCCTCATGCTCTTTCTTTCGTTTATATAGGGCATCTTCACGCAAGATAGCGGCCGCTGTAAGCTTCACTTCCGCAGTGCTGGCTGATGATGTACTGGCATGAGGAACAGGTTTCGCCTTGAAGTCAAAGTGCAGAGCTGCTTCACGCTCGCGCTCTACTTTTTCGCGTACTGCATCAAGATTGCTGCCTCGTGTAGCAGTTGCAAGTTGGAACGCGTCAGCCGAGTCATATTTGCTCGCAACTTCAGACTTAATCCGCTCTATTCGAGCTTCTTGTTGAGCTTTGAGCTCTGCTAGTGACAGTTTGTTGAGAGATGCAGGTACTGGGTTTGCTTTGATCTCACGAGGAATACGGATAGGCTCGACTGTTTTTCGAGGCTTTGGCTGAGTAATATTGGGCGCTATAGGCACAGTTAGTTTCTTGCTTGACGTCGCAGTAGCGTCGGGATCGGTGAGGTCACGAGAAGCAGTTCGCCCGAAGGCTTTAGTGTGAAGTTGACTTAATAGCTTGTCGATATCTGGCTTAAAACTTAGCATCTTGTCGACTATCTGCGTCTCAACAAACTCAGCATCCAGTACTCGAGTCCATTGGTCTTGCAGCGTTCCTCGAAGCTCGTCAGGGTTGAAAATATACGACAAGAACGTGTGCATACTTGTCGGCTGGAGTGCCAAAGCCAAACCCGCAAATGCAGTGGTACCGAGCTCCTCGAGACGGAACATGGCGAGATACCCCATGATGAGAAACTTGGTGTAGTCAGTTCGACTCACCTGACTGGAATGTGAGTCGAGAAATATTGTGAGCATGGGACGCAAGAGTTCTCGATAGCGATACGAGCCGTAAAGAACCTGCTGAAGGAACCGCTGATCACTCACAGAGGATAATCTTTGAAGTTCTTCCGTCGCATGGGCGTCGATTGTTGTCTTTGCGGGATCAAATGACTTGACCAGCTCTTCGCACGCAGCCAGCAACTCCTTTCGCTTCATGTCCTGCGATGAAGTCTTCCACGATAGCCACCGAAGCTATTCCAAGTTTTCCCCATAGACGATACCCAGCTAAAATTGGAAAAGAAAAAAATGGATAGCTTTTCAGGGTGCCACCATACTTTACATGTTAATAAGAAAGATAAAGCAATTAAATTTTGTTAAGAATTTTCTGGATTCATAAACCCAAAGTACAATCATACAATGTAGCAAAACCTGCGCAACATAGCCCAGAGCAACAAATGATGTAATAACTCTTCAACTTGCTAGGAAAAATCGCAAAAAATGTCTGATGGGTTTTAACTGTAACCTCGTCCCAGTTCGTTCTCATTCTCCCCACAACCGGTTTAACACGAGAATATGGCGATGAGTGCTCTACCACAGGAAACTCCAGTAGTTTTGCAAGCTGCAGCTCTCTCAAACTTATATCCGACAGACTCCCCGACTTTCTTTCGCGACGACAAGTTCAATGCGAAGGTCGTAACGCTGCACTGCGTGGGCGAGAGCACATTCATTATCCGGTCAGCCGATGACGGACAAGAGTTGATCGTTGGGGCAAATGGTGGTTGCTACTTTGAGTCGCCCGTGCTTGGCATCACGGAAGAATTTCAAGTGGAAGCTGTTGCGAATGGATCAATTGTGTTTGTGTCATGTCGAACGGGAAATGTGCTTGACTGTGACGATAACGGGCTTCCACGATGTGTTGACACGATTCGCCGGGGCTGGTTCATCTTGCAAGACGGCGGCGCCACCGATGTTAATGATGAATTGATCGTGGAGGTAGAGCCGGAGCTGAATCCTCCGTGCAGCCATTGTACTACAACTTGTAGGAACAATGAAGCCAAAGAGCGTCGGGAATTTATTATGAAGTTGGTGTCTCTTGGTAAGTCGCTGGATGAGATCGATGCCATTTTGCTGCGGATGCACGCGTGGCCTATCGCAGAGAATATAATTTCTGCGGGTCCAAGAGCTGCAATCGTGGAAGGTGGGGTAACTACAAAAGCTATTGCTCCATGGCAGTAGATGAAGATCGAGTGAAGCGTCGGAGGAGATTGCTTGATTGTTTTGGATCGGAGCTCTAAGTGCGCTTTCCATCTAATAGCGTTCAATTGTTATTACTTAAGTAAGTATCGCTTTTCCGTTCAACTGTCGAGCGCCATCTCTTTTTCTTTTTATTAAAATGCTTCAACACTTCATAATGCTAAGCAATTTCTAGCGGCGCTCAAGATCAACTTTACAAATATCTTTTTCTTTTAAATGTTATGATAAAAAGAAAGGTTCTTGTTGACGGACACCGCCG